TTCTCTTACACTGAATTGTTTTCTGAATATCTCAATTTAACCATTATAAACCATTACCTTGGTTTGTTTTAGAGATGAATTTGTGTAGCGCCTTTCATATTGTTTTGCTGGTTAACACCATCCTTCTTCTACTGACTCTGTATCTTTGTTCCTGTGATACTGTGTCACCACGGATAAAGCTTTGCCTCATTCCTTCTAAAATTACAATCCCTCATTTTAGATTCATGTTTTAATTTTTTTTTTAAATTACAATCTTATGGTGAAAATTTTGATTGTCATCTTTATTCCCTCAGTCTTATCCTAGTGCTCAAAAAAAGGTTGCCAATATTATCATTTGTATTTGGTGTTTTTTAAAGTCAGTCACTTACTGCTTGAACTGTTTCCGCTGTGGTAGTCTCCTTTACAGCGTCCCAATTTATGTGTGAAAAGTTGAAATCTTCCACTATCACCACATCACGTTTGTGACTTGCATTTCAGGTCTCACTGTAGGACTGGCTACTTACAGACATGTCTGCATCGGGTGGTTTTAGTGGTTAGAGTTCCACTTTTCTGTATGGTCTATAACAGGGCATCTACAGTAAAAACAGCAGGGAGATTTGCTGTGAGCTGTATTGCCTATAAATATATCTGTGCTGCAACACGTGTTACATGATTGAGGGGTGATCCGCGGTGATATACCACGGTCCCGTTGTTGAGCTGTTGTGTTGCTGCCTCTTTAAAAAAACCGTGGAAGGCGCCCCTTCACATTTCCGGTTATGAAGCATCATGGGTAGGAGTTTACTTCCTCTCAGGAGGGGATTTGTGGGTCTCGCAGATTGATTTTTAAAATACATTTTTGAGATAAGCTAGGACCGATGTATTATGTTGTTTTACGGTGTTAAATTTCTTGTAATTTTTATTTTTGTGCCTCCGGTGTTTTGCTTGCTGCTAAAAGCCTTGATACGGTGTAAACCCCGTTTATAGACCTTCGTATTTTGGATTAGGTTTGGGAGCTTTTTAGGGTAACTGTCTGCGTTGGAACATTATGGACCCGGTGATCTGTTTTGTTCTTAATACCCTGTGGCTGGACTTCGACACACCGTACAGGCTGAGGGTTTTGTTTTTGCGATACGCCCGCCGGCCATCACTGTCGAGACTTCGAAGGATTTGACGCTATTATTCAGTGTGCCTTTATTTCAAACCGTGTTGATGTATGTATTTTATAACATCGGTGCAACCATCTTTTCAGTCTTATTATTGGGATTTTTTTTTTTGGTCCTTTATTTTGTTTTCGCCGATGTGTTCTCCGTCTTTTGGTTTTGTTGGGGTGTTTACGATCTAGAGTCCATTAGATGGTTCTCGGTTATTTTTGCTGTCTATCAGCCCTTTTGACCTCACTTCTACAAGTATGATACCTGTCCTGTGAGCAGGATATTTAAGGGTAAGTTAAAGAGTTTAGGATTGACCGTTACAATACCAAAACTGCCGATTTTTAAATAAACTTAACTTCCCTCTGAAATATACAACTTAAGACTATATAGTGAGTTTTGTAGTTTTAAGTACTGCTATATATTACTTTTGCTATATTTATTATACCTAGTTATTTTAGGGAGGCATTAGGGAATTGGAGAAATTGCTTTAGGCACATAATTAAGCTTCGTAATTAAGACACGGAGAAAAAGATTCATTGAATGGAGCTTTATTATTGTCGGTTCAAACTCCTAGACACGTGGCACACTGTACGTCCTGATGACATCATTGCAGCGGCAGCCCACAATGCACTAGTCAGGTGCCAGATTTGGTGGTTACGGTCACTCCCTGAGCATCAGCTCACACAGCCCACCGGTCTCCAGCCCTGTGCACGCTATGTAGTGTTGGCCACAGAACACGCATACATGTTTCCACGTTGGTTTTGAACTGCCAGTGTGTGTGTGCGCGTACGTGCACGCTTCGCCATCTTCAATTCTAATAAAAGCCAGAGGCAGGTGTGTGCGAAGGGTTGTGTGAATGTGTATCAGTGTGTCGGTGTGGTAATACAGAAGTGAGTGCTGCAGTGTGTGTGTGTCTGGTGTCAGCAGTGGGATGGAGCTCAGTGCTGGATCCGGCGGATGGACTGGATCTGGGGGGTCTGGGAGTGGGAGCCCCAGTTCTTCCAGTGCTGGTAGTCCCCGCTGTGTCGCTCACACTCCATGATGTACTGGTAGCCCCTGTATCCTGGGTACTGGTAACACACCCAGCTACAGAGAGAACAGGACATCAAGCAGGTTAGTTCAGAGTTCAGTACGAACACACTGACTCAGTCCATTAGGAGTGACTCTGAGAGATGGGGCTTACAAAGCCTTTGGCTCTATAGGTGATGCATGTTTAAAGGTTCAAAGTGAATACTCACGCGCCGCACTGCACATGCATGGATCCTACTTCATTGTTGCACCAGCCCATGGCCTGCAGGGAGGGGTAGTCATCGCACAGCTCCACACTGCGGCCCATGAAGTTCTCCTTCTCGAAGATCATCATGCGACTGCTGTGGTGAGACTGGAAAGGGGAGCAAGGGTTAGTGTTCTACAGCAGAGACACTGATGGCACGCTGTAGTACATTAACACGGCCCTGAGACAGAGGGGTTAGTAACTACACTACTGCACATGGTCTAAACTCGGCTTGAACACTCACAGCGCAGTAGATTGGTCGAAAAGACATCAGTCTCTCCACATGGTAGGATAGGCTGCCACTCCAGCCGTCCCAGCGGGGGTACTCTCCTCTTTCCAAGACAAACTGCTGCCCCTGGAAATCGTGGTGCTCAAATCCCACCCACCTACAGGCAGAGACATGGCTTAATACAGTCCAGACACACTGGACACTACAGGACATTAACACTGCACTGAGAGAGAGGGGTTAATACAGTCCAGACACACTGACTGGACACTAC